ATTAAGGACACGCGCAGACGTTAACCGATGCAACGGCGTGCGCATAGACCAATCACAAATGATACCCCGTCCCCCACCCCCACCCCACCCCCATTTACTTGTACCTAGGCCACAAAAACATGCCAATGCTTGCTGCTTTATCATTTTTTCTGACGATGGCCTCTTGTGCGAAGCCGAAAGCTCAGAATAATACAATTGCCGTCACAGTGATCGCATCTTTTTCTTCCTTCCAAAATTTGTAAGTTTTTCCTTCCTGGCCTAAAATACTAAGCCGAACAGACGGGCACACTGATAATTGCACTAAAACGGTCTTACCGGATCCGAACATCCGTCCGTGGTGTCACAACTTGAGGACTGTTCTTGACAAGTCGTGAGACGCGGGAATCGCCACCGAGGCGGTGACCCTCGCCGAGGAAGGTGGTAGACCCATTTATTCTTGGAAGTAGGAATCGAAGTTCCGGATCTTCTCCGGTTTGGTCTGCCTTTGGATCCTGATACCACTCAGTGCGGCGGTCACTGACTAGGAGGGGCACACCATCGGGATAGCGGGCTTGCAATTCTGATGGGAAGAACCCATCCAAGATGTCCTACGATAAGAGGAAGAAGGATAGACAAGAGTGTCAGGCTGGCAAGGGACAGTCGTAGTTGCTTGGGGATGTCAATGGATCACTTTAACTGTCCATGTAGGCGGGTATAAAGTAAATGCTACTACCAAAGGCAATTATATGGCATGAAGCGGGTTGAGGGTCTGATCTGTCTCTGGTAGTACAGTACGGCTCCAAATTCGCGCAACATGTCGAAATTTGCGAAAGATTGATAATCACTCGCTAATCGGCATTAAGGTTGTAATACAAATTATCATTTGGCCTGCTTTCAAGTATTTTGAATCACGAAAGGATGCCGGATTTGTATGTACTGTAAAAAATACCTAGTTAAGTAGTATGCCTTCTTATAATGAATTTTGAAGACCTTTATATATTAAAATATATTGTATGGAAAACATGCATAAAAATATTTCTCGTACTCGGTTGGTAGCAAATTACGCATTCTTTAAATTTTATACTGAAAGAAATTGTGTCTTTCGGTTTTTGCATGAACAAGCTTCCTCTACATTTAAAACGTAAGTTAACCTAGTGTTCCCGATTTTATTTTTTTCGGAATTTTCCGCTTTCCTAAAAAGCTGGTATTTCTAAACAACGTAATATTACTTGAGAAATGGCAGTATGCCCTACTTTGAAGAACGAGCATTAATTTATTGCTGTAAGACTTTGCGGGACGCAATGTGAGCAACCTTTGCGTAACAGGGATTTCCTTGTGAAAGTCCTTAGATTTCATCGGATAGGCAATCCACTGTACTCTTAAACTTCCCAAACAGACCTCCAAAATGCCTGCCAACAACTGTGCAAGAGAATGAAAGCCAGCGCAGTCATGCTTACTCAAATCGTTTCAGTAAGCGTGCTATAAAATAATCACCAAGCGGGGTTGGAGGACCACTCGTCACCGTAATTACTATAACGTTTCACGAACTACAGCCATCCCCAAAGAATACCCGAGGCGGTCACCCAGGAAAGTTTTTTTTTCTACTGATAGATATAAGTCATAAAGGAAAAGATCGTTGGTGCAAGTACTTGCAAGAGCTGCAGGGTAGAGGTCTGTGTGTAACAGCGGAAGGGTCCAGCAAACATGATAATGCCATCAGCGTACAGGGTAAGTGGCACTGGTTCCGTGCGACCGAGTCTGGCAACGCGAGACCCCGAGGAGGCAGTAGATGTCTGCTCGGCATAGATGACCTTTGCCTCGTCTGCTTGGATACTCTCATTTAAAGTTTGTATGGAAAGAAGTAGGAGATCAAATGTTCTGTTGGAAAGCGACCGGCCGGAAATTTCTAAAAACAGACATTTTGAAAGGGGGTTACTATGTATTTTTATTACTACTAGATAATACATGGCTTAAAAAAGGGTATCGAAAAAAAGATAAGGTAGACTTGCATAATGATTTCGGGATTATGCCTTGACTTTGGCCAGGCGCACCCTCTACCATTACAGAACACACGTAGTGATTGACTTGTTAATTGATGTTCACATATCAAAATGAACCATCATCTTCGGTCACATTATGCGCGTTCTTCCTTTCCGAGGAAAAAAATAATTTTGAAGAAATCAAGAAAAAAATTTATTTCATAAGCACCGAGTGTGAATCCTTTTGTCTTGGACGAAGACTTTATTCAACCAGGTACATATGTTTCCAATTTTTGGAATGTACGTTTTTTTCATCATAGACAGCAGGTCTTTCTATAAATTTACTTAGTTTTAAAGCAGAAACGACTTAAAGGAAACAAAATGACTCCCCACGTAGACTTAAACGGACATTTTCACTAGTTTTTTTTATTCGTGAACAAGTTGGACGCCACGAACTTCGGACTACCTTTTATTTAAAAAATCAGAATGTACGTCCCTAGCTATATATTGGGAATTATATCCTTTTCTTCGACAGTCCTGCAATCACCAGTTAGCTGAATTGAAAAAAAGCTACTGTCTTTACATTGGGCCATGTTTCGACCGATAGATGTTGAGGTCGTAAGTCTTTGGTTTTGTTTTGTTTGTATCTTAATCAAGGAGCAACCTTTAGCTTAATGAGCAGGACGCGTACCAGATACGCCGTGATATTATAAGCCCGAACGAAACCCTTAACTCTATGACGACTATAAGAATTACAACTATCAGAACACACCGATGGTTGTCGCATTCAGCGAGGAGGCAGGATGTGTTCGGGGACTGTCCGAAGCTCCAGGGCCGAGCCATATCAGTCCGTAATCGGCCAAGAACTCTTCCATATCGCTAACCTTCAATTTATAAAAAAAAGAAAACCCTCAAATTTTATGAAAGGTATACATTTGTTGTTGCAAATACACGTAAATCAGATTCCCATTTGTCCTCGTGAACGTCTAGACAAAACCACAAGCAATGCTGTAGATTTTGTGTCTTTAAGAAGGATAGCTTTCTCATCGAAAAACTGAAAATTTCGAAACGCAAGAGTGACAAATCTATATGCTATCTCAAATGAAAAATTAACCGGGGTGTGTATGCCTACAAAGTCTAAAATTAATGAAGAATTTGTCAGTCAAGGTCGAAAATTACACGAGTTCCTGAAATAAGGGTGACGCACAAGTATCTTTATCATTTCAAAACTTAATCATTAGCTTGCAACGTTAAATGTCCCTTTTTAAAAGCTTATGCATTTTAATTGGAAACGTTTTACCAAACAAATTACGACACAACAAAAGCCAAATGCATTAAATTCCACATTTATTCTAATAGAGAAACGTTATTTCGGTGTCATGGGACATGTAATCCATTTTCATCTGAGCCACCCTGTGGACAATCGAATCACCAAGCGTTGTGGCAGGTTGAACTGAGGGTCGTCCACCGAAATACACTTTTCCTGGCCAATGATATGCTTTGGAGAGGTGCAGAGTCCGACCCTTAACCGACATTAAACGGTGCAGGAAGATGTTACGGCTGCCCATGTGCCCAGGGTCGCAATTCGGCTGCTAAAACAACTTTTTTAAAAGCAAATACTTTCGTTGAACACAAATTCCAGGTGGCCATAACGTTTACCCGATTTGAGAGTAGTTGATTTTTTAGGGTAAAGTATTGAGCGTATGCTCGGGAACTATTCAACAAGCTGAGAACAAAATTCGAGAGGAAGTTCACGTCTTGGAGTCAGATAAGAGCCGTTGTCTAAAATGACGGAAATGGGATGGCTTGCAGAATGAAAAGTTAGGTCATTTACCGAGCACCCCCTGCTCTTACATACTTAGGAAATACTTTTATATTCAGTACTATAGATGGCACAAGTGTATTTAAGAATGAGAAGAAAATGGAAAATTGGCTTTACGTTCGCTAATGTACGATGCTGATATATTCTACCTTAGGTTGACTGATGTAACCGCAAAATATAATGCCAGTACTGCTAATAAAATTGCTATCCTTTATTTAAAAATCAGATAAGTGTGGACTCATAGATGTTTTATTTCGGAAAGTAGATTATCTAAATGGAGGCTATTGACAAAAAGGTTGTGCAGAGCATGGGTGAAATAGAGAAGGGAAAACTTGTTAGGTACAATTTTCAATATTTCATATAGCCAACATTATCCATTTAAAAATTGCTGTTAGAACAGCGGACTACGTTCGTCTTAAATTTCCATAACTTACTGAAGATAACAACTCCCCGATCGAAAGACAAGTTTACCCTAAAATTATTCAGATCCAATTACAAAAACACTGATTGTAAAGCAAATAGTCGGGGGCATATGAGGAAATTTCTTTTCGCCCCCACGGTATAAAGGTATTTAAGCGGCGCAAAGAAGACCTGGAGTACGCTTAAAGTTAAATATTGCCATTTGAACGACTAATGATCAGGAGGGTTCTCAGTTCTCCCATATTGTTAACCTTTTTCTGGAGTTCGGAAACCTGCCTCCTTAGACATGTACATTCATGAGAGTCATTTGAACTCGATTCTTGTGCAATATGCAGTACACGGATCTCATCCTGAAGACGTCGCACGAGCTTTTCAGATGCCTCCAGTTCCTTAGTCTAGAAAATTGAAAAGTGGAATTTCGTAAAAAACGGAAAACTCGAAACCATTATTAAATTACTGAACCAACTGTACTGAGATGATGACCTAAGCCAGCTTGTAAAGTACATAAAATGTTTAAACATATAGGTTTGTTAAAACTACTGCAAACTCAATATCGGAAAAAACAGACTACATATAACTTCGAAAGAATGATAAACTTTCAGACATTTCAGAAATCAAATATTATGTTCAAAAACAAAATCGCTAGAAAGTTTTTTGATTTTCCTATTGCACAGTCTTTGGTTTTTTTTATTTTACATTATTTTTGGTACTCAAATTATGTGATAGCAGTGATGATGACTAGCCCATGTGATCATTCCTCACGCCAGCAGGCAGCAACTAAACCTATGGAATGACACTTAGGTAATTTCGTAGACAATAGATAAAGTGATGAGTTAACTTATTATAAAATATTATCCGCTACCGTCATCTCAATTGTTTCGATACTAGTACTTTTGATGGTCTCTACCACCTGGTCCATGTTGTGGGACCAGTGCAATAGAATATCGTCCTTCCTTGCAGTCCGTCAGCTGTGTTTCTCTGAGATCCGTTCAACCAGCTGACACACCAGCTACACAGTGTGAAGATCGAAGGATATGAGGTGCGTAAGAAATTGGTTCTCACGGTTAGGTTAGAATAATGTTCCTGATGGTTGTGATCTCAGCTCAACGCAGCACAGGGCTAAACCACCTCTTTTAGGAAGTAAGGGATGCAGTAGTCCGACTCCGCTCGTGACCCACCGTATAGTCTTTCGTCCGAGATGTATCAGATGTATCCTCCGAATGTGCAGATTATGCCTTACCTTAACACAAAAGTATAATCCCAACAGAAGTTGTACAGACCCAAAGCTTAATGTTTGAACCAACCTCTGACAATTTTCGGGAACTTCTGACAGGGTCAAACAGAGACCCTAGGCACCTGATTGATTTAATTGCCATTTTAATTCTCATTATGCTCGGTTGGAAGCCAGTCCGAACAAAGACAACAAAATTTGCGCAATGGCCTACTATCTTCATCTTCCGCGGTAGTTTAACAGTTTCCATCGGATGCAAAAGTGAAAGAAATTATCTCTATCGGAGGAAGGGCGTTGATCTATCGGGTAACGGAGCATGCCCGTCCCATTGGCCTTTCAAGCAGACGTGTGAAAACCAGTAATATCTGGTAACAGACTGGATCAAATCCCGTGTTCTTAAAAATTGGAATTGAATATGGCCGATTAATGACGGCTAATAACTCGGAAATGGCCATTCTGGTCTTTCTTGTCTCTGTCGTTGTTCCCCTTCGTTAATTAAAAATTAACAGTTTGAACTGAGGGGTACACTTCATTGAGTATTCTGTTTCTCTTCTTATTTATTCCGACAGTGAAAAGCGATGGAAGTAAAGGAAGTAAGGAAAGTCGCTTAAAATACAGTCAAGTAACAGCAAGTTTTACCTAAATTATGATGAATTTCAATACGCAAGAACTTCTGTGGCAGTACACGACCAACGTCCTAGTACCCAGGCTCAAGGACTTCATATATGTGCGTTTTTTATAGCGCTTTTCTTCTCGTGCATGCAATCCTTAATTTGAGTCTGTGCTTAAATGAACATAACTTTGCACGTTTAAGTAGTCTTTTAGTTGGAGGAAATTATGGCCCTAATGATTACCTATTAGTTGCAAATCGTAGGTCTCTTAGAACGTCAAAGATTAAGACTCTTTTATGTTCCTCTAATAATAAATGTCGGGAAAAACGGCCGTTTCCAGTATCTGAAATTTTTTTCCAGCAGTACCAAAGCCTCTTGCTGAATTTTTGACTATGATTCGAAGGAAGATTAAACTTTAAAGCTCAAGAGGAAGCAAAGATCAAGATCCTATGTGTTTTAGGACTGTGTGGTTTAAATATTGATGCTTAGCATCCAATGAAATGAAAACTGGCACTACTGCGTACGTATCTGTTTATAAGCACCTATACGTACCGAAAACAAGCCCAAAATAGATATCTGAAAGTTATATGTATACACACGGAGACAGAAAGTAACTAAAGCAATAATGACAAAGTTCGTAGTCCCTATTTAGACGTTCACAAAATTAATAGCAGAAAAGCCCCGATAAACTTCGAATATTCTCATTATCATGAGATGACTAGCTTGAATGACATACAAATATGGGTGATGAAAAAAGCACGAAATGTTGTCAAGGGTCATCTTTTTGAGATTACCTAGTAAGTGAAAGCCATAAAACTGCCGTCAAGACAGAATGTAACCGCTTTTCCCACGAAAACCAAGAAAGGATCAAGTTGCCACTTATCTTGAAAAACATCATACATACCTTGAGTCATCGTCAGTGCTCTGCTAAAGGTATTGATGAGCATAAAACTTCAGGTTTAAGCGTGTCTGATCTAGCGTGATTAATTTCAAAATGATTAACAGCTGTGGCTCGCTAATGAGTAAGGCTGCTTTAAATCACTTAAACATGAAGGGAGGTAAATGCATTCAACCTCTGGCAACGTTTTAAAATTTAGAGAACAATTAAAACTAAATTTCAATGCCCACCTTTTTTGCAATATCATACTGAAGGGAGGAGACCTTTTTCATTGCGGACAGGAAAAGGTCGTAGTCAGTAACGCCTCTTGGAACCGCCCTTGAAGTAGCATTTTCATTCATATGATTAACTTCTGAATTGCTGCTGTTTTTATAGAATGACGATCGTCGATTCATTGCAACTTCAGTTGCATATTCTCTGATCATTTCACGATCTTTTTCACAATCAGCTAAAGAAGCGCATTCTTCTTCGAATGATGATCCTGCGACGTCTGGCGCAAAGAAATTACTTAAAATATTCTGTCTGTAGCGATTCAGTGGAAGCCTATTCTTCCTGCTGAGAAGCCGTTCAGCCGACGACATGGAATAATTAAATTGCTTTTTTTCGGCAACTATATATATTCAGTCAACAACAAACGTTTTTATACCAAAATACCTGTAATATAATATAGTAATAATATATATTTCTAGTAAATAAAAATCCTCAGTGCTAGCTTCATCCGGTAACCCACTATCCCTCGTTTATCTGCGTCTTCTGTTGTAAAACGTTAAATTTAATGTTCAAAGCCAATTTTTTGTCTTTATCTGTCAGTCTAGAGTCAAGATTTGTGCTTTTTGAAGCTATATAGATCCATTCGGCGTGAGCAAAAATCAAACACGAGTCGTAACGCGACT